CCCCAAAACCCCAAAACCCCAAAACCCCAAATGTCAAAAATATCAAAATCTGAAATAAATTCTAAATAGAAATATTTAATAATCTGCTAATCAAAATTCGCTTTAATGATATGCTTTGTATGAAATGTCCGGATGTTTTTATATTGGTGATTTATTCTAATATTTTTTAGACTTTCTATTTCCTCTCTTTCTGTTTATTTTTCTCGAGTTTCTTAACCTTGAATCAATTAGTTCCCAACCTTCAAAATCTTAAATTTCATCATCTTTAAAGGCAAAGAGTTAATGTTAATATTGTTTGTGTTTATCAACCCAAAGTCTAATCATTGGCGGCTTGGGTTCATCTTCTTTATAGAGAGTTCTCCATCTTGCTGGTTTAGTCAGCTTTTAAATAACTATATTATGCATGCCATGTATATGGTATTTCCAATTTAGAGAAGAATTGTTTACTGGTGCCCAGAAATTGAAAGACACTTCGTAGTTAAAAACTTTATTGTTTTCCATACAAAATGCTTATATCGAAATAGATGTTTAATTTGTAATAATCGTCTCATTGAAAAGAGATGTGCACCCCTAGGCCTAAATGTGATATGCATATTTCACCTGAATATAAATCTAATTAAGATCCTATGCCCATGAAATTGGAGGTCTCATCAAAATAGGCTTTCACTTAACTTGCTGTAACTTATCGATTAGAGTATCAAAATAGACTTAATTTTCCTTTGCTTCTTCAATAATATTTAAGAGATATGAGTAAATCTCTTGATCAGAATATTAATTAAAGATAAAATTATTAAGCAAATAATTAGATGTCTTAAAGAGATTACGATTGACTAATGGCTTCAAGCAAGAAAATTCAAAATTAGTCTCCTAAGCATTAAGTTTTGATAATTCTAGTAATGCTAAATCATCTAAAATCAAATCTTAATTGAATCTTTCGCAATCAAAACTGCTTTAACAGCTTTAACAAACTGCTGAGATTACACTGAAACAAATGAAAAGTAAGAAATTTTTTTAGATTATGTTATCCATTGATTTAATCTCTTTTATAATATAATTTTGCTTTGCAGACATAGTTTTGAAGTATGATGGGGTTTTGGGGTTTTGGGGTTTTGGGG